ACCCACTGAAACATTCGCTTCTTCCACCAGAAGATGGTGGTACGAGGTTATTGCTATTGTTGTCGTCATAGCTATGTCTTTATTCTTGCCTCCTGTCACAGACAACTTTAATTTGGTCGTCTGCCATTTGGAGATACACCAAATCATATTATTCCTTCGGTCATGGATTAGGGTGGGAGGAGAAAAACACTAGCTCGGGGATGATCAAAGCGGGCCCACATTCACCTCACACTGACAGACTAACTGCCAGACAATGAAGGCGAAACAAGGAATCAGATTTTTTGGGGAGAAGGAGGTAAACTTTAAGGTGTCTGTCGTCGGAATTCCACATTATTGGATCGATGCGTCGGAACTGGCCGATCTTCCGCTCGCTGCTTTGTCTGTAAACCTATGTTGTGTATTTATGTACACGTGCACACACTCAGACCTTATGTGAGCCTATTCGTCTTCGCAGCTCACCATAGGGCCCGGCGGCAGAATGGGAGAGAGAGAGAGAGTGAGTCACCCAGCAGATGAAAGAGTCAAAGTAAAGGCTCTGCCGTCCCCAAAAAAACATCACACAGCTCCCTTGCTCATTTTTTGAAGTCATCCAAGAGGAGGGAGGGAAGTGACACACTTTCTCAATCGCATTAAGACACGGCGCCAGGCAGCTCCCATCTTGTTGCACGCTATAGATTACACTTTGGTTTGAAGTGGAGTTTTAACTGGGACATGACGATTTTGGGCAGTTTTTTGGGTTGAGTTCTGAATTCATCTCCAAATCATATGAAGATAGGAACATTAGTGATCAAAGCAGGGCTGGAGATGCAGGGAGGTCTGCTTAGATAAAGGTAATGGTGTAGGCCAGCTCCGATGACTGTTGGAATCAAAATACAGCATATCTCGTTACAAAACTAGCTTAGCAAAATAGAAAAGCATGACTGAGACACTTTCTCTGTGGTTTAAATGTCTGCACACCCACAGAGGTTTAAACAATCTCTGATTCAGCAGCTCACCCGGTAAGCATTCAAAGCCTGGAGCAACTCCTCTGTCCTGACCTTATGATGTAGGTTAGATATTAAGCTCTTTCAAGCTGATGGAAATGGATGTAATTGGTTTTCTGATATCAAGGACTGGTCGTGTGTAATCACTGAGCGTTTGGTATGTTGTGTGGCTGCGCATTTGATGTATGTTTATCCGTGTATGCCTGTTTATGTGTGTGCCCGTGATGCATTATTTCTGCACCGGGTGTGATGCAGCGCTGACACTGAGCAGCAGGGATGAAGAGAAACACTTGTGACAGGCATTGATGGCAAACTGTGAAATGGAAATAAAGCCTCTTGTCATTACAGCACCAAGTCTCTCCCGCACACTCTTAACACTCTTGCATACGCGGGCAAGCCAGCAATGATTACAGACAAACGAGCAAATAACATCTCCCAGCTCTCCCTCACCAGCGGATTGAACTCAAATTGTTACGAGAGAGATGCATGGTGCACGGAGCATCATTTTCAGAGCTTACAAAATCCTCCCGCCACTGCACTGAGGGCTTTGTGGAGCAGCGTAAAAAGCTTCACTTTAAATCTTCTTTTTTTTGTTGTTTTGTTTTCAAGAAGTGAACCCCATAAATCATCTCCCTAGTGTGCAATATAGAGCACGCAGGGGGGAACTAACGGCAGCCATTAAAAGCCTGTTTTGCAACACATGATTGCCTTGAAAATGTCCCTGCCCTTTTTCCCTAATCACCTGCCAGTTACCACTCACCCGGCCGCATCCCCTTCGTAAGTAGGACTCCAGTTCAGTGTTTTGTCATTGTTCAGCTTCTGCTACAGCACTGAAAACCATAACTGCTCTCCAGCAACATGAGAGGATTTTAATCATATCTAAGAAATGTACCACACGACAACAATGTCCTCTCCAAGACCAAAAGATTTTGACCATGCTTCCTTTTTATTTCTACCCATGGATACAAAAGGGAGCAATTCAACTCCCTTTTTGGCGTTAGCGTTTGTTTGCATATTGTATCATGTAGAAATTCTTACCTGCTTTTCTTCCTTTTTTTGCACCGGTACAGCACTCCTTTAACAGACTGCCCGCATTGTGCAAACCTGATTTCCAGACACCCGTAGATCAAAGTCACGCTTTCTGTTTGCCCATTATCTGTGTTTGAATAATTGCGACGTTGTGTTTGCGTGTCTTTATGTGTGTGAGGGAAAGTTGTCAGCTCCACTCCCCGCCACTTTTGTCTGTTTTTTTTGTCTTTTTGTTTTTAGCATGCCAGTGTGTCTGTGTGCGCTTGGCCAGGTTCCCGCTGCAGATTATTAATTAAGTTCTGGTAAGCGGTGCATGCATCGCTTTTAGATCTGCTTCCACTCTCTTTAACACACACAGAGTATTTGCACACACGCATTAAACGCACACTCTTCAAAGCAGCTGCACTCCACACCGCAAGGATTAAGAGGCGATTGAAGAGCCTGATACAGCCTCAAAGTGCCTTCAGCAGAAAAATGCCTTTGGCAGGGCCCAGGTAGTCTCTTTGAAAGTTCTTACACACTCACATAGACATACACGCATTCCTGGGCTTTTAATTTAGCGCTGTTTTTCCTTTTGTATTTGTCACAGTCCGGTGAGGCTTTTTTTCTCCCATTCCTTTCTTTGCATGTAGTATCCATAACGTCATCTTCTCCCAGACATTTTTAATGTGTGCATCCATAGTGGAGCTTCATTATGTATGATGTTGTATCATGCTTTCTACTGAATTCCCCAGAGTGAATGTAGGTAAAAGGAATAGACAAGTAGCAAGCTCTTTATGTTTTTATGAAACATCTGAGCCTGTTTGCATGTCAGTATGGCAATATGTCTCCGTGAATACATTCACATGTGAACCTCCAGTCATATACAGTACAGCACATACCTCATTAACTCACAGCCAACTCCTGTGGGGTTGATGATGTATACCTTTGATGTAATCATTTTCACTACAGAGCCACGTTTACGTCTCATCTTTTGTTATTATTTAAACAGAAAAAGACACTGAAATTGAATGAAACTTCCAATAAATGTCACCTTCTGGCAAAGGATCTGTTTAAATACGTACTTCACAGTCAGTCTGTTAAGCTGTAGCAAAGATGGAGCAGATGATGCTATGGTGGCTATAAAGTGGCATAATCTGAAATAGATACAAGACTAATCATCTATTTGTATAGTAGCTACCTTAGAAAAGCTGCCTTTTAGCCACTTCTTTGTTTTAGTGCCTCATTGAGAACTGGGATCTCTTCTGATGACCACCCAGTCAGCATCTAAGAAGCTGAGCACATCCCGCACTAAGACAACATGCACTCATTTGCATAATAAATCAGAGCTGCATACAGGAATTAAGAAACAAAGAAACAAAGAAGTGCAATAAACACTTGGAAACACAAAGAAATAAATCTATCAATTAAAAAACAGTGGTCTGAAAAAATAAAGGAAAAACAAATGGATAAAAGAATACATTAATGGATTATCTATGAATGGTTGAATAGGTTAATCACATAAAAACTAGAAGGCAAATAAGTGGTGTGGTTTAATTATGCAGAAATCTCAGTTAATTTCACACTGAATACAATAGTTATTGGATATTTTCTTTTTCTTTATTTTAGTCGCCATTTTCTTTCTGGCAGGTTTTGCCCCCCCATAAATCTCTGCCGTAGTAAAAGGAGACAAAAATGTGTCATTTGTAAAGAAGAAGGGATCCATTTGCACCCCTCTCACACACACACACACAGTTCTTTCTCTCCTCTCTTCCACACCCCTCTTTGTCCTCAACGCTCTCATCAGCTGCTGCCGGGCCCCTCGGGAGGAGCGGGCCGCCACTCAAACGGCCCTGGCGCAGGAAGACAGGCCCATATCCTTGGTGACGGCTCGGTGTATCCGTGGTGACAGGTGTGTCCGTTCAGAGCGGACAGGGGGTGTTTGTCAGGAAGTGTTTGGATTGGGTGCAGAGCTTGAACCAGAGCTCAGGTGTTGATGGCTGTGAAGGGTGCGTTCAATGAAGAAGTGTTTGCACATGAGTTGACTATCCATCAGAGGCTGGCAGGATACAAGATTCACAAGCATGTGTGCCTTTATACTGTTTTTAAATTATTTATAAGGAAACTTATGCTCACAGTGATTCAAAGTAATATTGTACATGTTTGTGTCAAGCTACTGTCAGACTATAGGATACTACTACTTTTATGAGGTTATTGTACTCAAAAACATGTTCACTTTTGTACTACATCTTATAAGATAATATGAGAAGAAGATACATTCAAACATACTGATACAACTTGTGCTTTCAGACAAAATTTAAGTTTAATCAACATTTTCAATCCAAAATACTGCGATCTGTGTCCAAAAACTCATAAAATTGAGCCTCTCCATGGTACTTGTGTAAAATATATGTAGCCAGTGATGTCCCCCCCATGCATTCAAGCACTTCACACCTCTTTATCTCACTCCACCGTCCAGCCTCTTTTGAAAGTCCGGCCTTTTAACACGGCGAGCTGAAGGGAGACGGAACTCGTATTAGCCGTCGCTTCCAACTGGCCAACTTCCCAAAGAGAGACAACAGAAAACAAAGGGGACTAGCAGCGCTCAATAAACTTCCAACAAACAATCTTTATTCACTTCAGTCTGTCTCCACCCTGTTGAGTCTCACAGCTTCTCTTGATTATCTCTTTTTTTCACTGTATAACTAATTGGCTGCAACGTTTTAATTCCTCCCTTAATGCCGCTCCTCTTGTTAAGTGATGAATTGTTGGCAGGAGATCAGAGGAGATGGGTGCCCACTGTGCACTGTGCCCATCACCACCTGCTGGCACACATGAGCGTTGGAGCTGGCCTCGTGCCAGTAGACCACAGACCCGCGCCGCAGGGACCCGCTGCCAAAAAGGCAGAGGTCAACAGAAAATGTGTGTGTGTGTGTGTGTTAGAATGGGTGCATTGGAAGGGCGATGTGTTTCTGTACACTTCCTGACAGAAGATTGAATTTCCCCTCTCTGCCTCTTTGTGTCTCTTCATCCACCCGTCTGCATATCTCTCTCTCACACCCCCCCCCCTTTCTCCACTTGTTGCAGACCAACAGCAGATTGAAGCAGATCGAGAAGGAATACAGTCAGAAGCTGGCCAAGTCTGCCCAGGTAATCAGTTCTCTCCTCTGCCCCTTCCACCCACCCTCCTTCTTTTATTTAATATGTCTCTTTTTCTACACAACTGTGAGACGGAGCAGACCAAATGCGCCGATGGGGGGAGGTGAAGAAGCACACATGACAGCACATCCAATCCTGGACACACAGCAAGCCACTATGGCCTTTACCCTTAAGCCAAGGCTGCAGACACAAAGTTTGTGCCAGTTCCAAATAAGTCAATCCACACAGGCAGCACTGGAGCTCACCTCTCTGATTCCATCTTCATCCCTGTATCTACAGGTGACTGATTGAGCACTTTCATTTTGCAGCCTTTGCGGGTTTTGTGGAGTCAGGCTTCAAGCTTGCAGATAATTCTTCTCTGCATCTTTTCAGGCCCTAGATAATACTTGGCTTAAGACCAGTGCCAATCAGATACCCACATGGCTTTTCCAAGAACAAGAATCTGTCAGAAGAAATCCTTTGCCCCAGCTCTTTCATTCAAACCAGGGGTTAAACCAAGTTCTCCAGAAAAAATATGAATATGATTTTAAAAAATCCCATTGGTAGAGAGGTAGAGCTACAGGTTGTGCATAACCCAAAGGAAGGGGCCAAACAGTTCGGACTGGTTTGGTATTTCCAGCGCTATATTTTTAAACACCCTGTTTTAGCTAGCAACACATTTGCTTATCAGGGCAGCTCTTAAAAATTTTCAAATGTTCTAGTTGTTAGCAAACCCATTTAAAAGGAAGGCTGTTTGAGTCATCTGATTATTGAGTAATCTTAAAAAGGAGTGTAGACACTGTTCTCTGAATGTGACAAAAAATGACTGAATCTGACGAATAAAAATGCTAATCTTTGATTGCTTCACCGCCTTTGTATTCTAAGGCACAGATAGCAACACCTGCAACTCGTACGTAAACCCTTTGTAATGTATAAAGGACAAATTGTGAGCAGAGTTTATGTGCTGCTGTCTAATCTGGGTTGCTAATCGTCGCAACTAAACAGTTTTCATTTGCCTCATGTAACCTTCCTTAGACTATTGGCAAAGAGTTCTGAGTGCTGTTAGCCTATACTTTTTAAATGTAGCTAAAGGCATCACACAATTTTCAGTCGGTTGATGTAGGAAATGTATATTTGCTGTTTGTTCAGTTGCCCCCTAGTGGCTAAAAAACACCCAATCCAACTATGGAATCCAGATAATCCAGAAAAATCCCACCCACAATCATACATTCTCATTCTCTGTTTGATTTGCTCACATTTTGATATTTGAATGGATGATGTTCCCATGCAGCTGACTATAGGTGCTGACTATATCTAACTATTGTGTATTTCTAAGTCCCTTCTTAGTAATGTCTGCTGGGGACTTCCCAAATGGTGCCCAAAAGGGAAATGTTTATGAAGTAGTTCTTTAACTTTACCCATGTTGGCTTTAAAACCAGCAATCACCACATCATCAAAACCATGTTGGAGAAAACAGAAGCGTTGTGGTTCTCTGTGAGATATCTGAAGAGTCATAAAGTGCTTTTATCTGAGCTGCTGTAGCTGAGAGCAAAAAATATATATAAGCCGAGCTCAAAAGATCAGTGAAAGTCCCCGTCTCATGCTCTGTTGCCGAGTATTTGTCCTCAATCTGTTCACTGGCCGTGGTATTTTCCTCTTCTGTATTGTCTCAGTGGCCTCTCCATACCTGTTTCTCCTCTTCCTGTCATGATATCCTTGAGTCACACTTTCAGCAAGAGGCCATGTGTTTAACATTACTGCATGCCACCGCAGCCTGTTTCAGGCTAAAGTAATTCTTCTCTCTAAACAGAAATTCACTCTCCTTTGACACTCTCTGCCATTTAGCAAAATGTCTTAGGAAGTTCAAGCAGCTTTTCCTCAGCAGCTTAAAGATCTTAAACACTCTAAGTGGTGTTTACACTACCACAGAAAAAGGTTTTCTTCTCGATTATGTGGAGGGCTAAGATATTACAATCATTTGGCCATAATTGCACCTCCAAAGAGGAGATCCAAAGAGGGGGTTTTGTTGTTTTTCTTTCTTTCTTCTCGTCTTTAAATCCCCCCATTTTGGGTTGGCTGGCAAAGGCTCAGAGTTGAAAGCGAGGTTGACAAGCAGATGTTGTGCGAGAACGGTAGCTTATTAGGTTACACAATGCTCGACTTCAAAAGAAGTCGGATGTTGTGCGAAAGTTCAGCCATGTTTGCCGGCTTTAGTGATGCACTGCGGCACTGCAGACAAGCAACTAGTGATTAATCCTCTGTTTTGGGGACACAAAGCTGACACATGTTTAACAAACAGCATTCTGGCTCTAAAGGAGAGTCTTTGTGCTCCGTATTCACCACCTTTGGTAACACGTGTTTTTTTTTTTTTATCCCTTTCTTTAAGAAAAAGTTGCGTGGAAGATGAGGCATTTGTGCAAGCACATTAATATGTGCTCGATTAATTCCCCATATTTGTCATGGGCTTTAGTGGCTGTGTTTTAAAAGGTAAAGGTGGGGCAAAAGGTTGGTGCTACCTCCCCCCTGGGGCGAGTCAGTCAAATGTAAACAAGAGGTCTTTGAACCTCAAAGGCTAACCCCAGTGGTTAACCCCTTAGTGTCTGACTGGGGGCATCGCTCTCGAGCTTAGCTGCATGGCTAATAGTCCAATTAAAAACATACCATGCCAGACATTATCCTGGGGGGACTGGAGATGCAGCATGAAAGGGTATACATTTACTTGCGTGCACACACACGCTCACAAACACACAACTCTTCCTCTTGCACATTATTCCGTCGCTTTTGTTTCCCTTTATCTGCCCCTCATTCACACACACACACACACACACACACACACACATTTGCGGACTCAACTAATTAGTGTCTCTCAGATTCAATGGGGTGTGTTAAGCATCTAGCTGTGAATGCTCCTCCTGGGTGACCTGTGAGCCGAGCAGGGCTGCGCTCTCCTTCCCTGCCTAATGATCGGGTTATGGTGGGTGGTTGTGGTAGTGGTGAGAGATGATTACTTTATCCCTGACCGTCCACCGTGGGAGTTCGTCGGAGGAGGTGGAGGGAGTTTTTTCGTGGCAGCGAGTGCACTGAGAGGTGGAAGTTCATGCACAAGCACATTGGAGGAATTTCATCATTATTCCAGTTTCAAGTCTTACTAAGTTTACATGTGAACAATTTGGCATGAATGTGAAATATAGGTCACATGTGAAATGTGATCTATTTCGGTGTTTACTTTAATGAAAATAAACTTTAGTGGTAAAGAAAAAAAAAGCACCAAACAGCCTCTTCCTACAGTCTAAATATTCGTCCCTCTGATTCAAATGGAGGACTCTTAGTTATACATGGGGGTGAATGTTGAGTCCAGGATATACCCTTTTTCCCACCCAGTTAATTGGAAAATACATCAACTCCCCACAAACCTACTTAAAGGAATAAGATGTTATATTAGATGGGTCATTTATCCATTTCAAATGTTTGAAAAATAGGAAAAAAAATATTCAGATGAATTATTGATGTCATATACTTTTGGTTCCAGGATTTGACGCTGCATGATACTGCAGATGCTATAAAAAACATTTCTTAGCTGGCTCCTAAAATTTGTTGACCCTTGTAGACCCTCATATTGTCTGAATTTACAGCAAAGATAAGAAAGTTTTTTTATTTAAAAAAACTATATTGGATTGAGATGTTTAACACTAGTTTTTCTGGATATGTTAGCTGTTTGGCAGCCTACCAATGGGATATGCATAGTATCCTTTGATTCTTACTTAGATCCATCACTTGTATGTCACCTCTGTCCCCACAATCTCAGAATTAGAGTGGCCAAATGACAAAGTTGAGGCTTCAGAGGGGTAATCCACAAACCAGTAAGTGACGTCAAAGTGGTTGCATCATTCCATTTCCGCAGTTAAATCATTAAAATAAGAATGTGGAGGAACCGGGCCACCTTAATTCAGCATCCCTCTCTGAGTTTATTCATTTCATGATCCACTGCAGCGCTTCGCTTTCCCTGTTGAAAGTGGCATTTTACAGCCGCAGTATTTCACTTTTCTCCGTCTTTAGATAGGTGAACAAATACAGCAGAAGCTCATTTCCTCCTTTTCTTTTTCTTTTTTTTTTTTTAAGTATTTTAAGTTCATGGGTAGGCAAGCCTGCTTTCTACCCCAAAATAGAGATGCAAGCGGACTGGGAAAATAGATCAGTCTCACCAGACCAATTAGAGACTTAAAAAGGCCCGGCTGACTGTCAGAGAAAAGGTGGTGTGCTGTATGTTTTGTGTGTGTACATGTATATATTTGTATGTGTGTGTGTGTGCGTGTGTGTGCGCACACACAAACGACGCAGACTTCTGAGTTGTCTAGTTTTAGGGTGCCACCACTCCCTGGAGCTATAAACCCGGAGATGCATAGAATCCATATAGCAAGATAATTATTGTGCTCAGAAATGGCATTTCCATCATAATCGGCAGTTTTTTTGCTTTCATGTGGCCGTCCCGCTGACAAAATAAACCTAATCTCCTTCTCACCGTCGCCCCACCCTTGCTGTCTGTTTCTATCTGTGGTCGACCCGCACCACTTGAACTTCCGTACTCCCACACAGTGTGCAGACTCCAGTTGGGCTTGTCCTCCAGAGTGTGAACACGGTAAACAATTATCTGTCTAGCCTACAGCCAGAAGCAACACTGCCCCCCCCCCCCCACCCCCACCCCCACCTCCTTTCTCCCCCTCCGATCCCTCTCTCTTTTACTCTCTCACATCCTTCCTCATCCTCTGTCTGACAGCGGCTGAAATAGAAGGTTAATTTTGACTGGAGGTTTTCAGAGTCGAAGCACTTCTTTTTCATCTTGGGTTGCCCGACACGTTCACAAACACAAAGTCGCTGCCCCCGTCTAAAAAGACATGGTTTTTCTTTCCTATTTTTTCCCTTGTCTTCTTCTTTTGTTGTGTATTCTCTTGTCTCAGAAAATAATAAGAGACTCTGGGAACTGTGGTCTTTCAAGGTGACTGTTGCTGCTATTAAGGTTCATTTCAAAAGTGAAATGCGTTTTTTTTTTTTTTTTAATTTCTCGCTCTTTTCTTTTCCCAAACAGCTAATTGCAGAGCTACAGACATCTGTGTGTGAGTCTAAGGAGGAGAATGTTCGCCTACAGCAGGCCAAGGAGAAGCAGCTGAAGGAGGCCAACGCTCGCTGGGATGAGGAGAGACGGACGATCACCCAGCACGCTGACCAGGCCTGCAAGGTCTGTAGCTTTCAAACCTTTTGCAAAGGAAAGTTATGGCCGGAGATTGTCTGTGTTCTAGGTTTGTGTGGATAAAGTACAACATTTATCAATTCTAAAGTGTTACGGGGACAAAACACTCTCTTTGCAAGGCTTTATGAACTTTATAAACTAGGTTTTGTGACTTTGTCAAGATGGAAAATTATCAGGGTTCTTCTCAGTTTTGGTCCCTTCAGTATTCCCTCCAGACACTAAACCTTCAAGAAATTGCCCCCATTTAACAAAACGGCATATGATTTTCTTTCAAATATGTAAACAGGCATCCGATAGTCACTGTTTCTTTCTGTTCTGCTCAAATTTTACCCTGCGCTAACACCATGGTTTTTTTATACGATCACTATATCTCTAAAAATCCCTTTCAAATAGCTGGAGGGAACATTCAGAGCTGGAGTGTAAAAAGCATCCACATCCATAACAAGGGCCATGACATGAGCTATAATGAAAGTAATGTGACAATCCACATTGTTATCTGAGCTGAGCAATAATGTTCTGTAAATAGTTCTGCCTGCTGTGCATTAAAGCTGTAGCCATGCCTCCAAATGGATTTTGATTACCCTCTTCTGCAGTACAAAAGAAGGATGTGGGACCTGAAATTCTACAGTGAGAGAAGTTTGGTTATTTTCAGGCCAGCCTGCACTCTATTTTTATATGCATCAGTTTCTGCCCGTGTTGTCAGAAATAGCAAATATGTCATTATTAACATATGGAATAGAATATTGATTTTAAAAGGAGTGAAGTATTTCTCTTTGCACTACAGAGAAATGGAAATGATCTTCTGCTAGTGATAGTTTATCAAATTGTTTTTTTTTTACAAATAGCTTTTATGTTGTTTTTTTCCTCCCAAAACCCTTAAAGCTCTGAGTTTTACAAGTCTTTTTTGGTTATCTGAGCATTACCTCTGCAGTCTGGTCTTCTGGTTGGAATGGTCTCTGTCGTGTTCACATACAGAGACAATACTGCAGACTGGGCAAACCGGGGTTTATGTCAATAAACCTCATTCTCTCTGAGAGCCTCGTCTGGGACCGACATTTATTGAGCATACATGGTTTGCGCTCTTTTGTTGAAGCGCGGCTGCTGTTTGTATGCACGCGCTTTGTCATTTTTATGGTTAGTTGCAAAGTCCATGGTGTCTTTAAGTGGCTAGTATGCTCTGTGTCTGGCTGAAGCTTACAAATCTGTCAGCACTTAGACTCTCTTTGTCACTGCTGTCATTCAGTTCAACTCAAAACTCAGGTTTATACGTTGCAGTTGAACTGTTTATCAAAAAATGCAGAGCCTGCTTCTTTTTTTTTTAAAGGTGCAGAGGAAAAAAAAGCAATATTTTCATAAATGCCTTCAATATTCTGTCTCAGCCTTCATCCACCTCAATGCAGAGTTCTTTTTTTAGCGTGGCGGGATCTTTTATTCTGCCGGAGCCAGACTGAAACACAGTCGCAGTGGCAGTTGATTGGGTGTGGCTGACTAAATAAAGACTTGTTGTGTCTGAGATCAGGATATGTTTCCAAACACAACTTTGTCTGTTTGTGGTTGCTGTTGCCCCGCATAGAAAAAGAGGCAGGTCCGCAGGCCTCCCCTCACAGATCCTCTCCCTCCAGGCCCTGGCAGCCCGGGCCCACCTTGCCCAAATTCCACTTTTTCTCCCAAACTGTTAAAGTTTGCTGTGAAACAGCTCAGGGCTGTTTATGGACAGCCCTAAATGTCTTGTTTGTTTTCATCCAAACATATTTCACAGCGGTAGTCCAATCAGTCCTCACGTTTTCCTTTTTTCTTTTCCACATTTCCCCTAACAGTATGTCCACATTATCATGAACACAGCCTCAGGCGGTCATTTAAGGGATTTTGTGAGAGTAAGCTGCTCAGCACTCTGTAATGAGCAATTAAGTTCATTTCTTACCTCTTTCTGTCTCTCTTCCCTGCATTTGAGATCCAACTTTTCTATTCACAGCTATTGTTTGCCTTTCAAAACAAAGATTACACGTAGAAAAAGCTATTTGTTGATACTATTGCAGGATTATTATTTTCATTTTTGATTCTATATTGCCATTGGTTAGAATTTCTCTAAAACCATGACTCACTAGTCGGTTGTTTGACATCAGGGCTCGTGTAGGAAGATTAGACTAGCCTTTGAATTTCGCTGCCCTTAATCCGAGTTTAACCTGACACCCCAGTCAAATTGCATCTTCCCCGCCGTAGACTCGGTATCTGCGGGGGGGTGGTGGGCAAACATCAGTGTGTTCAATATGTGCATCTGCATTATTTTCAAGGGGGGACAACAAAGAAAGGACAGAGAGATTTGCCGTAAACTTTAAAAAAGAGGAAGAGGAAAGCATAAGATGACAAACAATGATGGGGAGGAGAAGGAGCGAGGTGCCATGAAAGGATGCAGGAAGTGTGGGATTGATGCAAAAGGGGGAAAGCAGAAAAGAAAGGAATGGCTGAGAGCTGTCTGTCGGCCATCGGAGGGTGTGTGTCGCCTGCTGACATTGTTTCCACACTGCTCACTTCAAAGGGCTGGGATTATGAAGAGAGCGAGGGGCTTCAGACAATGGGAGGGGAAGAAAATAACATCAAAGTTAGCCGCGCATTTGAATTGGGATAATCCCAAAACAGTTGTTCTGAATGCATGCTGCACCGGATCAGATGCTCCTTTTTTTCCTTGCCAGACCCATTCTGTCGTTTCTTGCCTGAATTTAGCTCTCTCTGTGGCTCTACTGTACTTGGACCTCTAAAACACGGGTGTAAGCTGCACAGACCTTTAGAATCTCATAAAGCCTTTTTTTTCTTTTTAGGACAGTTTTAGGGCAGTAAGGTATGCTTATTGTATGTAATTTCTCACATTTTATTTTTGACCTCATTTATTTTTGGCATGCATAATGTTTAGGTGGAGTGTTGTTTCATGCAAGGACAAAGACTTTTTATTTAAGGAGCAAAAGGACTGCAGCCAAATTCAGATTAATGAACAGATACAAAGGTTTTCTTTTTTACATCAGCCTTGACACATAAAGCAGTAAATGTAACACAGGTCGCTAGATATAAAAGACAACAGTGTCTAAACCAGAAGCTTTTTCACAGCTGAAATAAAAACCTGGATTAGAAGTTATTGGTGTTTTCTAATTTTATTTTAATTGTTATTAATATTTATCATTTATACTATAACCGTATTATTTCCCTATATAGATTAATACATCATTGTAATCTTCTTTTTTTTTTTTTAAATATGTCCCATGATGGCTAAAGTCCACCAAAAGAAAGTTTTACTGGGGCACTAAAAGGAAGTCTATCATCATTCAGATCAATCATTCCGCCTCTGCCTTTCATGCTTTGCCAATTCTAAATGTTTGCTTGTAAAAAGATTTATACTGATGAACTTAATCTTCAACTTTCGGCCAGTGCATGAGTGCCATACTCCGCATTGTAAATCAGCAATTAGCGATTGATTTTTTTAGAGCCACATTTGGACAGAAGATAGGAGCTGGAGCTACTGGAGACTCTACTGAGGCTTGATGCTTGTGCGTGGTACCTCAAACCGTATCGGACTAGTGTGCATCTGTAGGGCCTACAATCTAATTGATCAGGTAAATGTATTTATTTAAGCAAACTGTGGCGAAGGAGTTAATCTAGATAACCACGTGGGAATAGTATTATTTCACAAGATGCTTTTTAATGGAGCCGCAGATGTGATGACCCAGCATGATGACTCACCACCAGCGTTGGTGTACTTTAAGGCACTTTGGCACAGCCAGTCTCAAAGACCATGAGCTTCTATCTGTCTGGTGTGTTCACACTGGGTGAAGAAAATGGTTAAGTCCACTGTGGCACACTGGGACTTTGCCGGGATTTGGCTTGTGAGAATATCTGCTTCCAGATGTCAGCGCTGTGTCTTTGCATGTGGTTTTGTTGTCGGGTGTCTCTGTTTGTAATTCTTTTGAAGGCACACACGGATTTGAGGTGGATATGAGCTTTAATAATGAGGCTTTTGGGATTACTGGAGTACATGATACATGTTGGGGTGGCTATTTTCATGCCGGTGTTATTGTCTGAGCCTGCATAAGTATGCACAAGACCATATGTGGGAGTTTGCACTTAGGTGAAAATTTCAGCTGCCAAATTTGACAGAACTGAAGCCGAGATTAGCCTGCCAGGAGAAAGACACACACACACACACACACACATACACGCCTTGTCTTCTCACACACCCTATCTTTCCAACTCTGTGTCATCCAACTCTTTCTGTCTCAAACTCTGCTTCTACACTCACATTCACAAGCACACATGCTCTCCTCACCCTGCCAAAAGGGATCGGTGGCTGGTGAATAAACAATGGCACTCCGCCCATAGTGTCACCCGTCTGGGCTTTGATCAGCACCGCTGTTCCTGCTCCCCACAGCAGCGCTTCCTGTCTTTCTGCCTGCCGAATGTTGCCATGCGCACACACACACACACACACACACACACACACACACACACACACACACCACACACATGCACCTTTAACCTAGTGTACATGCTCCCTACTCGCAGCCCCTCCCATTTTTTCTCCCCACTTGGTCTTCATCTGTACCTCTCTCTCACACGGCGTAACTTTGAGTTAGTGCCCTTTTTTTCTCTGTGTGTCACACACACAGACAGGGACAAAGACCTTTGATCCAGGCCCATCCAGCAGCAGGTTTCCTGCACAAGTCAAAAAGAAAGGTCCTGTTGTGGTGTCCTCTGGGTGAACTGACAGTAGACTCCTTCCATAATTCAGCAGTGACCATTGTCTTCTAGTGTTTGAGGATAAGAGTGAATATATGAGGCGTGCTGTTGCACTGCCTCCTTGGTCAAGCTCACAGCTGAGCTATTCTATCTGATCCAGGTGCATGCATGATAATTACAAGCGATCCTGTGCGCGCGGCCCCAGAAATATGCAGCCGTTCACCGGGGCTGCTTTTAGCAGCTGCAGTTTGTCCGTAGCCGTGTAGTTATATATGCATTAGTTTCTGAGGGGGTTGAAAGGATGACTTTGCCTGTGGGAAGGAGTG